GGGGGGGGTGTGTGCCTGTGGGCAGCGGTGGGGGGGGTGGTGCTGGCGGCGTGAAAAACACGCACATGCAAAGACACACACACAACTGTTTTGCAAAGCAGCTGTGATTCTGTGGCGTCATCATCCATCCGTGCCTTTCTTGATCACACTGGCGTGATCCGGGTAGTCCAGAGGTGTCCTTTATTCTTTGTGGATGTCTTTAAGCTTCCAAGAAACAAAGGTCCTTAACTTCAGGGTGGGTGGGGGCTGTCCTTCTCCTCCTTGCAATGAGCTGGGGTCCTTTAGTCATGCTGATGGAACCCTGACTGCGCAGAATACAACGTACACCGTCTGCATCTTCAGCCAGTTCATACGATTTTGTACGATAAAGACTAATCGGTACAAGAGTGAGAGAACGGGATTTCCTTAACCCTGGCACCCAGCTGGCTGTGGCTGGGCTGTGTGTAGGTGTGCCCACAGGCACGGGAAAGGGCTGTGCCGGCATGCAGAGCCCACACACCTGACATGGCTGCAGCTGGGAACAGGAAACTTAGATCTGCCCAGGTCATGAATTCACACGTTTTGGCAGCTGTGTGTGCACAAAACCTCAGAGACAGAGCAGGGTCCAGGGCAGGGAGCTGAGCCACCACACCGTAAGCCAGCCTCTGATAAAAAACAAGGGGTTTGGGTCGTCTCTTGGAAGATGCTCTGCTCCCTCGATGGGTACCTGACTGCACACTGGGAACAGTGAGGGGAGCAGGGCTGCAGGGAGATGAGGGGTGACCAGACCAGGGACCAGACAGAGAGTGGCCAGAGGAAGATCTCCGAGAAGACTAAGACACAAGAGGAAGAACGGCGGGCCTGGGTGTGTGTGCAGGCAGGAGGCCACGTAACCATCCCACTAGAGGGAGCGAGAAGATCAGTCCTCAGAGGAGAGAACTGGAAGAGTTGGGATGAGGGAACCCAAGCCCGAGAAGGAGCTGCAGGCAGAAACTGGCCCTTCGTCCCCTCACCGGAGCCTGGGGATGTTTCTGGCCAGGGCATGTGTGTCCTGGGAGCTGGCAGTCCCACCTTGTGATGTTACACTGGGCGCTGCTGGGTCGGCAGCGTTAGGGCTCGACAGCCCTCCCAGGGAAGCTTGCTGGTCTGTGGCTTTATGGGGCTGACCCCAGTCCTCCCCCTTCCATCCATCCCTCCGCTGCCAAGCGAACAAAGTCCCACCAGCAAAGCAGGGAGCAGCCCTGCTCCCACGGCCCCCCAAAGCCTCCCTTCTCCTCCTGTCACTCCCTCGCTACCCCTTGGCTCTCAACCCCAGCTACCTCCAGGTCCCACCACCAGCCTGCAGGTCAGGAAGGGCTGCGAGGACGGCCGGCACGCTCCCGGCCAGACAGGTGCAGGGGAGGAACGGAGCCAGCAACGAGCGGGGCAGAGCTGATGCAGGCACACATCCTCGCTCAAAGCCCACACTGGGGGGGCTGTCCGGACACTGCTGCCTCCCTGGCACCCCTGGGGCACCCCTTTTCTCCCAGCACTACATTCTTCACTCCAATGCTTGTGCCAGGAGGAGACATCTCTAGCTAGACCTGGGCAGCTAAGGACCAGCAAGAAAACATCCCTGGTGCTTTCCAGCAGCAGACTGGGGCCTGGGGCGTGGGGGGCTCGCACGGGCAGCAGCGGTGGACTCCATGCATCAAAGGCAAAGGCTGCAGTAGAAAGCAGCTCTGCCCTTTCCCCCCTCAGCCCTTGCCAAGCTGGCACCAGCCTGCCAGCACCGCTCCGCTGAGCCTGAGCTCTGCAGGGAGGCTCCCAGCCCAGGGCGGTGATGGAAGAGGTGTGGAGCCTCCAGGATGCAGAGCAGGACAGAGGACTTGGAGAGCCAGAGGAGAAGCTGTCTGGGCAAAGCAGCACAAAGCTGGTTTGCAGGCCAAGGTGATGGCAAGCATTTCCTGGAGGGTCAAACGGCTCTACCCAGGTGCTCCCAGCTTCTTCCACCTAACCTGCTTTTTCACCTCTCGAGGAGTCAATTCGTCTCACGAATGCAGCAGGAGGGAGAGAAGGAAGGTGGGCAGGAGGGAAGCCGGCATCACAGAGCTGCCTTGTGCCTGCCAGGGAGCCCTACCAGGCACTGCTGCGGGGCCATCCCGGCATTCATGGCATCATGCATCTCCAGCCAGCCCACAGCTCCCAAACAGGCAGAGAAGACGAAGCTGCTCAGTGCACAACTTCTGGGAGGTCTGGTTGAGGAGGTCTTGAAGCTTGGAAGCTAAAAACGAGCCAGTTCCCAAGAAAAAGGTTTGCCATAGCCTGGACCAGCCCAGAGCCCCAGGGCAGCAGGAGGGTGAAAGCAGCCAGGATCTCTGTCACCTTTTCCCACTCCAGAGGAACCAGGCTGCCCACCGAGAATCACAGAAACAGCCTTTCCCAGGCCTGTATCTCTGAAAGAAAAGGGACTGAGGGTGTTTTGGTCACCACCCACATAGCCCCTCCTAGCACACGGCTTGACACTACGTTTGACCAACACCGTGGAAGCAGAGCCTCAAAACAGGCACCTTCCCTGGACCACGAGACACCTTCCTTCTGTGCAGAGACATGTGTGGCCGTAATCCTGTGCGGTAGGATGCCATGGGCAGCAGCAGGAGGTGGCAGGACACGGAGGGGCTGCCCAAATGCCTTCTGCTGGGCTGTCCCCGGGGTCTCAGTTCCCACTGTGAGAGCAAGAGCAGAGACAGCTGCCTTGAAGGAGAACTAGGAAAGCGGGGCTGCGGAGGTCAGGGACAGGAGGCACGGCTGGCCCACACAGGCGGCTGACACACCCGGACCCCAGCTAGGCTGGGCTATGGCTGTCCTTTTTCCTCTTTTTGTGTTTTTTTTTTTTTTGATGCTCTGCTTTGCCAGGAGGTTGCAAAACCCAGGCGATGAGTCAAAACAACCCGGAGCTCCCTTTTACCCTCTGCAGCCCAGGAGCAGCCAGGCGTCGTGTCCCAGTTTAAGAGCTCAGAGTTGGCAGGAGCAGCCCTAGGATGGAGACATCTTCCTTCGGGGTGCAATGTCGGATCCTGGGGCTGAGCCATGCTGTGTGAGAGGAGAAGCTGAGATGAACCAGCCAAGATCCTGCTGGTTCACAGGAGCTCTTCATCACAGGAGAGCTCTCCATCACTGGTGCAGGAGCATCAGTTCACACCACCAGCTCTCCATCACAGCTTCTGGAAGTGGGAGCTTCTGGTCAATGAGGGCCAGCTTGTGCCAACCATCCAAGCCAACCTGTCCTGTCACATTCGGGGCGACCACCAGCCCCTCCAGCCTCAACCCTACACCTGGCAATGTGCAGGGCTGGAGGAGCTGAGCCAGCTCTGGAGACGGCCTGATGCAGCCAGGCAGGGAAGGTTTCCATCCCCTGTGATAACAGGGACAAGCAAACCCTGGCCCTATCCCCAGGCAGGGAGCGACCTGATGGGCAGATAAGGGCTGGGGGCTGCTCCCAGCCCAAGCGCTGGGAGGGTATGGTGGGGAGGAGGCTGGGTCTTCATGGCTGATGTCCTCCCCTTGCAGATCCATGGCCAGCATGCAGCAGGGCAGTCCCAAGGCTGAGAGCAGGTGGAGGGGCCAAAACCCGCTGCCCCTCAGCACTGCGCAGTCAAAGCCAGGTATACATCAACCCAGAATGAGCAAGGCTCACCCAGAGTGTTTCTGCTAAGACAGAACCAGGCAGTGAGCACACACTGGCCCCGTGAGCTGCCTCCACAAGGGAAAGGGGCCTCTCGCAGCTCTGTGGGTGGTAAACGTATCTCAGCATCCTCACAAGGAGCTGGATAGTTCTGGGGACGGGGAGGGAGGAAGGCATGAAAAAATCCTAAGCCAGCAGAAAACCTGTGGTGGGAAGCTCTGAGTCAGCTCCAACCACGGGTTTTGTCAAACCGGCCCCCCCCCCCCAGCCTCCACATGTCTTGCATGGCTCTCCAAATTCCCGGGAACAAAGCAGAGGGGCTCTGCACCTCACAGAGCAAGAGCACGCTGCGTCTGTCCCCATCAGCATGTCTGTGTCTGCGTGTGTGGGAGGGCAGGGTCTTGGGACCTCTTGGAGGTCAGGCTGAAGGTCTCTGCACAGGTCTGGGCAGTTTGAGGCTGACCCAGGTGAGTTTAGGGGAAAGAACAAGGCTGAAAAGCAAAGTCTCCATTTAAATGGATTGCTGGGACCGTGGTTTGTACACTACCACATGGCACTACAACATGGCAGCAAAGGATGCTGTATATGGCACAGTGGCGTGGGGAAACTGAGGCAAGGAATGGAGCCAAACTGCACGTTTGGGTCATGTGAGAGGAAGGGCAGAAGGGGGGAGACAGGTAATACTGGTCATAAAGCCTAAAACATCTCTTCCACAAGGTTGGAACTGCTGATCCCAGGGAGAAATCGGGTGCCCTGTTACTGCAGTATCACTTACCGTGTCATCAGCACTTAGACGTTGTCAGACAGCATTTCTGGGGTGCTGAGTCATGATGTCTGGGTGCTGAGTCATGTCTGCTTGCATTGCCCCATCCTGGTTGCTGGCTCATCCTTGTCCCCAAGCCAGGCTGCCGGGAGGACCCCACAGCAGGACCGACAAGCACCATGTGCTCCCACATTCCTCATCTTGAGGTCCCCCCAGGGAGGGCAAAGGGACACCACGAGCCCCGGGCTGAAATACTTCAGTCCTTCCCATTCTGAATCGAGGCTTTATTTCTTCCGAAAGTGGCTGCCACGATCGTCTCTCACCCCGCCTGGCATCTCTGCAACATCCTCCGTGACCCCCCCCACCCGACCTCCAGCACCGCAGGTGCCTGCATCCTGCTCACAGGCTGCGTCTCCCCAGCCTGCCCATCATGAGGCAACAGCCACATCGCTAGAGGAAAAACCCAAATCTGTCCTTCTGCTACCTCTCTCCCCCCTCAGACCCAGCAGACCCTTCTCCCAGCCCACCACGCTCCACAGCAGCCCAGCTCCTTGCTGGCTCTTTTCAGAACCAAGCGTACCTCCCAGCGGACCACCCCACGGCAGATGGGTCCCTCCACATTTCACCACAAGTTAAATGTGCTGTAAAATCACTGGTATTCTGGGTGGGAGAGGACATAAAAGACCTGGCTTTAATTGTCCCTCTTTGCTCCAGGCAGCAGCAGGGCTGCCATGGCCATCTCTGGGCGTTTTCTGCCCGAGCCTGATGCGGGGATGGTGACCTTCTGCTCGGAAATGTGTGGCAAGGGGTAATGCTGATTCTTGAAAAGCTTAAAACTGGCTGCAGGAGCTGGGTCCAGTGTCCCAACACTGGGCATTTGGCTGTTGGCATCCATCCCTTTGCACTCCAGGCCTCCCAACACTCCTGTTGTTCCCAAACTGATCCCAGTGCCAGACTCTGGTTTCCACAGGTGGAGAGAGGCACTGATGACCTGGCATGGCCCCAGCTGGGAAATCACCCCCGTAAGACCCGCGCCAAGGTCAGTACACAGCCGTGCTGCACCAAGCCACTTGAGCACCGCATCTCCCAGGAGTGTCCCC